CCAGGTCGAGGCTGGGGTGGCCGGGAGCGGCCGCTGCACTCCAGTCTGGGTGACGAAGTGAGACTCCAACTCAAAAAAAAAAAAAAATCCACAGTGAAGCCCCCCGCTCTGGCCATGGACATGGGCCCCTGTGGGGGCGGCTGCTGGGACTCTGGCCCGCCAAGGCCTGGGAGTGCCCCGGGGTCTCCCCAGAATCCTCACTCGTGTGGCCCCGCGCCATGTGGCGCCGCCTCCCTTGGGTTTGGCTGGGCTGGCCCGGCCTCTGGCTCTCTGACCTGGCCCGGGTAGGGGCACGACAGAGAGCCAGGGTCCTTGGCCAAACCAGGACCCCTCCCGGCCGCCACCCGCCTGCCAGGTGTTGGGAGAGGCGGGCCCAGGCGGTCTGCCCCAGGCCAGTGTCAGGGAGCAGGTGTGGCCCACCCGGTCCAAGGCAGGGTTGGGCCTCCGCTCCAGCCAGGGAGGTCGGGCCTCTCCGGCCTCACCTTCCCAGGCGGAGGCAGGAGACAGGACATGGGGGGAGGGACTGGGTGCTGGCCCCGGTCAGTGTTCCCAGGGGCGCAGGGGCTCTGGAGGGAGGAGCCTGGTGGCGATCTAGGACAAAGGAAACCCTCCCCCTCACAAACACACATGCACCCACATTCAGACACACCCGGGAACACACACACACACATGCACTCACACATGCACACATGTCCAAGCACACAGCAACACACACTCAGGTGTGTACACACGGACACGGGAGCACACAGTCTTGGCAATGCACAGACCCCTCTCCCACCCATGTGCACACACATGAATGCATACAGGCACAAGCACACACAGGCATACACTCATGCATGCATGTCCAGGCACACAAAACATACATGCTTGCGCACACATAGACACAGGAACACGCATACCCCCGCACACACTTTCAGGAATGCACAGACCCCTCCCCCATGCATGTGTACACACATGGATGCATACTGGCACAAGGGCACTCACACACACACTCACACAAGCATGTACATCCAGGCACACACAAACATACACGCGTGTGCACAGACACGAGAACACACCCCCCACACACACTTTCAGAAATACACAGACCCCTCCCCCACGCATGTGCACACGGGCACAGGAATCCAGACACACACACACACACACACACACACACACACACCCCTACATGAGAGTCCACACACATGGGCACACAGTTTGCACTTCGGCCTGTGGTTTCCGTCCACACACACCATCTATTGGCTTCAAAAAACAGCAGCTGTTCACACCAGGGTGGAAATGCATCTTCAGCCCAGAGCCTCAGGTCTGGTCTTCTGTCTCACAGAGCACTGAGCAAGCCTGGCGGGCGCGGCCCCCACGGTCCTCCAAGCACGTCTGTCCCCGCCCTCTCAGAGCCCATCCACGATGGAGGAGAATCAAAGGCTTTAATGCTCCAATGACACAAGCCCCACGTGGTCCCCCAGCCGCGGGCCGGCCTCAGGGGCGTCCCCCGGGGCCAGGGGGCCTTCCTGCCAACACAAACTCCACCCGTCTCGCAGGGACAGCAGCCCCCGCGAGCCTCGACGTGGGCCCTCCTGGGTCCCCGCGTGACCCTCCTTTGAGGGCATCAGGAAGCGGGCTCGTGTCCCGACAGCCCTGGACGCTGTCTGCCAACTCAGAAGCAGGCAGTGGGGAAAAAGGCGTGGAGTTAGTGACACCATGACGGTGGCCCAGACCCCCCGGGCCCCGGCTCGTTCACGCGGGCCATGAGCTCCCGTGGGGGCTGCGAGCCCCGGCGGCCTCCTGGGCTGTGCTTCTGCCGTCGCCGCCGTCGGGGCTGGAACCCCCTGCCCGCGGACCTGGGCGGGCCACCCTGCAGCAGACGCACCATCTCGTGGTCCCTGTGGTCCAGCACGCGGGGCAGGAACAGGGAGGACTTCTGCGTGCGGCGTGTCCTGAAGCCCCTGCGGGGCCGGCCTTTGCCGTTCACGGACACGTACCACAGTCTCTCGGCGCCGGCGCCGGGCTGCCGCTGCGCCCCAGGGCCGCTGGGCGCCGTCCGGTACAGCCGCGAGGCGTATGTGTTGTAGCCCAACTCGTGGATGCGCTCCACAAACTCACACTCGGCGCTGTAGTACTCCTGCAAGGCGAGAGGCCACGGTCGGGGCCACGGGAGGCCACGCAGGGGGCCGGGCCACAGCGGCCACTCTCTCCCGACACTTCTTGCCCATCCTTGGAGGCTGCCGGGCTCAGCTGCCTGCCCCTGGCAAACTCCCCTGCCCTCTCTGCCAGGCCGTGCCCACTGCCCCGGGGGCTCTTCCTCCTGCATAAGCTTGGTGAACTTGGCCTTTCACTCAAGCATCCTTGTCTCAAAGGTCTCCTGGGATCTCCTCTCTGGACTCCTCCAGCCTCCATTTCACCCCTGAGGGCACTGATCGTGGCAGTGACCCAGCAAAGGTGGTCTGTGGAGCAGACAGGGCTTGCCCTGGCAGCACACAGGCTGCATGGACGTCAGCAAGGACTGGGCATTTGGGCACAGGAAAGGGACACACCCAGGTCTCTTCTGAAGACATTGCATGAAATAAAAAGAAGAAAAAACAAGCCAGGCATGGCGGCGCACACCTGTAATCTCAGCACTTTGGGAGGTGGAGGCGAGAGGATACCTGAGCTCAGGGGTTCAAGACCAGCCTGGGCAACATGGTGAGACTTTGTCTCCACAGTAAATAAAGAAATCAGCCGGGCATGGTGACGTGTGCCTGTAATCCCAGCTACTTGGAAGGCTGAGGTGGAAGGATCGCCTGAGCCCAGCAGGCTGAGGCTGCGGTGGCCATGAGCATGCCACTGCCCTCCAGCCTGGGCGACAGAGTGAGACTCCGACTCAAACAATAACATAAAATAAAATAAAAAAGCAAAATGACAAGGAAAAGGGAAGGGAACACGGTCAGGTTTTTATGAGCCCGGCTTCTCCATGAAACCCCGAGTTCAGGACCCAGCTATGGCCTTGAACTCAGCGTCACTGCCATGGTCTGGAGGGTCCCCGTCCCCTAGGCTGAGGGAGACTTGTCACACAGAGCGAAGGTCAGGAGTCTGGCGTGAAGTCTGTGCTCCATTGGGGTCACAGTTGCTGTTGTTCTTTTGTTTTGTTTTGCTTTTTTGAGTTGGAGTCTCACGCTGTCGCCCAGACTGGAGTGCAGTGGCCACTCCCGGCC